GGGGGCGGGGTGGGGGGTCTGATTTTAACGTCATTGTATGTCCCCCTCGAAATGATGAAATTTTAATTCTTAACGTTTTTTTCGTAGTGTGCTTATTTTTTGAGATATTTGAATGTCTCAAGTTAAAAGCATCACTCTGTATATTATATGTGTGTCAAACGTAAAATTATGAATACAATTATTGAAAGAAATATACAAAACATAATGCAATTGCTTAATTTTAAAATTCAATTAAAGTAAAAATGTTTAAAATAAATAAAGGTTAAGCGTTTCGCGGGTTTTCTTCGTGCCCAGATCCATTCTTGGAATGCCAACGTTTTGTGAACCTTGCAGTCCACTGCAAGGCTGCTCCTCGCCCTGATGAAGTGGACTGCAAGGTTCACGAAACGTTGGCATTCCAAGAATGGATCTGGACACGGAGAAAACCCACGAAACGCATAAGCTTTATATAGAAAGCACCCGTGGAAGCCTCAAGAAGAGAGAGAGAGAGAGAGAGAGAGAGAGATGTTTAATATATATTAATCTTTAAATACTACAATAAGATAAGATTCACACTACGCATGACATCAGACATATAACGATACAATACCTAGTAAGACAGTATATTTTCTGGAGACAAAAATTCTCTTATTGGATCATACGTGCATAGTATGAATCTTGCATAACAATTTTTTAAACTTATTGACGTAAAGTATTCATAATTAAATCTCTTAGCATTTCCACCAGCATTCTGTCTTCCTTGATATAAAATAACATGACCTCTATCATATTCTTGGGGGTGATCACGATTGATCACGGCTCGATTGGACACTACCAATCACAGCGACCGGTGCTTAGAAGCTTTGTAGTCTCAAGCGCTGTGAGTGACTCATGTCCAATTGAGCCGTGTCCAACTGGGTGCCACCCATATTCTTGTGGAGTTGGAATGGTGATAACTTCAATTTCAACATTTCTTAATATACATATATTATGAATTACACAACGTGCTATCACATATTCCGCTATTAAGTCCACTCTTGACATAGGCAGACAGTGCAATAAACTTCTCATTCTTCCTTTTAACAGACCAATGCCTCTTTCGATTGTCACTCTGGCTACTGAATGGCGATAATTATAATTGTTTTGTGCCACTGTAAGGTGTCCATTGTCTCTGAAGGGAGTCAGTAAGTGTTGATGAATCTCGTATGCAGCATCTCCCAATATATGACTGTCAGTTGGAAATTTCTCTTCATCATTCAAGTAGTTTGCTACCTCAGATTGTCGAAAAACTCGCTGGTCATGAACTGAACCAGGATGCCCAGCATAACAATGTGTGATCAAAGTTCTGTGATCACACACCAACTGTAAATGAACGCAAATGTACATAACCAAATATCTTCAAAAGACTATTCATTATTAACAAATTAAAATACTTGTTACCTGTAACTGTATTGAATGAAATCTTTTACAGCTTATGTAATCGACAGAATTTTCTTTTGGAGCATCTATTCGAATATGGGTACCGTCAATGGCCCCAATGATTTTCGGAAAGCTACTGTTTTCTACGAATCCTTGCATAACCCTTTCAGCATAATCCCATAGGCCATTTAATAAATGTTGAAGCATTTAAGAAAAGTGCATGAGTGACCCTTTGCACAGCCCGAACAGCAGTTGCTCTTCCAACATTGAATCTATTGCAAACAGATCTTAAGAAAGAAATTTATTAAAAAATGTAAAATGCAAATACTTTATTGTGAATTAATAATTATTTATTGCATTATGTTGAATGTTTCCTTACCTGTAGGAACCCATCGTTGTCATTTTCCAAATAGCTATCATTAATTGATGATGTGGTGGTATCATAGGAGATCCTTTTATTTGTCTTGTTAAATATGGCCTGAGCATTTGTAAAAGAAATTCAAAAGTCGCCTTCGACATTTTATGAATAAGAAGAAATATTATTGTTAATATCAACTTGCGAAGAAGCATATGTGGATAATTGGAAGTGAAAAATCATGTATGTTCACTAACCTAAGATGACTTTTGAAATCATAATCCATGTAGTGACCCACAACATCGATATAATTTGGAATTCGCGGACGAAGTATACGCCTTTTCCTTTTACGTAACACTAACTCCCATTCATCATCAGAACTGGATGAGTCTTCAGATTCATATTTTCTACAGCGCAGTACGATTACCTTAATGGTATCCATGTTACAAAACTGTTCACTTACAAAACCCGTTCCACTAAAGATTTCGCCCGCAGTGCCTGTAAGTTAGTGGAACGGCAAATACTGCGGTCGTGGTCGTGGTCGTCGCAGACTTTAAGTGGAACACACCCTGATTCTAACCCAGGGGCTCCGCGAGGGAGGTGAGGGGAGGAAGGGAACCCGTGGCGAGGGGGTGACGTCACATGGGGGAGGAAGTGACGTCACAAGAGAGGGGAGGGGGTGACATTGCAGCCGAAAACAGAATCGCGACTGCATCCCGGGACTCACACATGACTATTGTGATAATTAAAGTTAACTAGAGACATTTAAGTTGCGATTTAAGCGAAAGTAAGTTTAAGAAAAATGCATTGCTGAAAATTAAATAAAATTATGGTGTAGGGAAAAAGGCGGATTTCTTGTATTATTAATAGGATAAGGATTCCTGTATAATTAGGATTATTATTATTATATTTGTTCAAATAAGTTTAAAATTAATAGTGTTTTCGATTGGGCAAAAGTTAATGAGCACCAGTGCGCACTCAGTTCACACCACCACTGGCCGAGTTCCATGGATTACACTGAATAATGCAAGTTCAAAAGAACACGCCAAGATTTTCAGTACTAAAGCTGAAAGTGCCATTTCGAGTTGTAGGATTGTAAGACTGGATTTGTAAGCCTAAGAGTGATATTTCATTTGTGCGTTTTTGTCGTACGACAAATTTTTCAAACCCGTTGATTGGTTACAGGATTAGAGATGAAAATGACCAAATTTTACGATAATTTACTCGGTAATTTACGGTAAATTAGTCAGTAATTTATGGAGGCTGGTAAAATGGTAATTTAAAAAAATTATAAAGATAAAGTAATTTGATTTAAGAGTATTTAGTCATTAAGTTAAAAAATTGAAAAACACTATTTAATTTAATTTTTCATTTCGATACTCCATAATTACATATTGATAGACTAATTAAGAAACTATATAGGTACGTAGTAACTAGAGAAATTTCAAATAAATTTTTATTAAAATTTTTAAAACAAAAAGTGTGACAGGTACAGTAGTTCTTAAAAGTTAAGAAGTTAACTATATTTTTTATACCTTCTAAATATATAGCCTACGTAGTAGAAAAATTTTAAATAAATTTTTTAATTTTGAAAACAAAAAGTGTGACAGGTACATAATCTTATATTTCTCATACCTTATAAACTCATTATAATACTTTTATTTGCTTGCTATTTCACTTTTTAGGGACTGTCTAGTTTTTACTAGAGTAAATACAAAAATAATATAACCACATATATCAAACAAAAATATATCAATTATATATTTATACAATATATATGAAAAATAAAATAAACTTATAATTACAGAATTGCACCATTGCAAGAATACTTCAGTAAAAATATAGAATAACCTTGTAAAATAAATAAATAAATAAATTAATTAATTAATTAAATGATAGAAATAGAAGAAAAAAGTATATTGTATATATCATTTAATTTTAAAATTTTATACATAAGAACGAAAATACAGTCTATTTGTTGCATAAAATTATAAGAAACAAATTTTATCAAAATTACTAATAAATTACCATTTTACCGCAATTTTACCGTAAGTAATTGTAAGATTGAATTTTACGATATTTTTACATCTCTATACAGGATAGAAAGATCCGAGGACCTCTCTGTTCTATACACATTTGTCGTACGACGAAAACGCATAAATAAAATAGCACTCTAAGGACTTGACTGAACTGCTCACTGCAGGAAGAACATTAAAAAATAACATCGACATCTCTCATGTTCATAACTGTAGGTAACGATTTTTCATTATATGTAATGTCACGTCTGGAATTTTTATCCCTTCTGACGCGGACCGTGGATTCGTTGATAGGCGAGGTTATGCATGCATTAAGGTGGAACGCAAAATTTTCGGTTTCTTTTATTAGAATTTTATTGTTTGCTTCGCTGCGCTATAAAATTTCTGGATCAGCACTTAAAGGACCAATAGGTTCCTGTCATCGTCTCTATCTTAATTACTCGCGGCGTCCGTGGTTCCACCTTAGCCGAGGTGGAGGCGGATCCGGATAATTGCCCGGAACGGGGTGATAATACCTGGGGAGCACCCCCATTAACCTGGACCCCCCAGCAGTCCAGGAACGGAATCTACGAGAGGGCCCCGCCAACATGCAAATACCAAAAATTTTAACTCTAACTAGAGTAAATTAATAAAAATCAAATGAAAGAAAGTTCTAGAACAATATTAGTAAACAGGCATACATGTTGACGGGTCAACCCTCCTTACTGCCCAGCACCACCATTCTAAAAGACCCCCATTAACCTGGACCCCCCACCATCGAAAATCAAAATCGCGATAGGTCAAAAATTTAGTGCTCTTTATTTGCTAATTATTTGCTGAAAAAAAAA